TTACTGTCTTCCGCCATTTTGGAGAGTATCACAACGCATACGCACACTTTTCCCTAAGTGTAAACAACGCTGATTACGCCGATTACGTTCATGTGCACGCTTTCCCCTCGAACGTAAACAACGCTGATTATGCCGATTACCTTCTTGGGTACTCTCCAAAATGGCGGAAGATGTAACCCGGGGGAGAAGAATTGTTAAATAAATTGTTATTTTTGTTTTCTTTGCGCACAAAAAGTATTCTCATAGCTTCGTAAAATTACAGTTGAACGACTGATGTCACATGGACTGTTTATTAGTAATTAATGACAGAATTTTCATTTTTGGTAACCTAACCCTTTTAACAATTGCCTTACTAACTAATAATAAGCAGCAAATTAGGAGTTTATGGAGGCAAAAGTCTTTTAAAAAATTAAGGGTTTGTTAATAGCGAGAAGTATCTCTTAACTTTTATAAAGAATATCTCTTTGGATTTGAGACTTTAGTCTTTGCAACTTTACAGATCTTCTTTATGCACCAAGAGCTTGTAACACTCCAAAGAGAAAGGAAAACTTGAAATCGCATCATATGACCCCTTTAAAATAAAGTGTGACTGAATTTTGTTGTGGAGTATGTTGTGGGAAAAGCCATTTCTCTTTATTTAAGTCAAATTTTCTGACAGATTTTGATGATGCCGAGCTTTTTATTATAAAGAAATCCAGCCACCTCAAGTGCAGAAGTCATTTATTCACAGTGAACACAAAACATTAAAAATATGGAGGATTTTCTCAATGGCTATGAATAAAGTGAATTTAATGTTCTAAATATGAATAAAGGTGTATTATATTTTTATTATACTGTATAAGCTTACATAATGCACTGGCAAAAGACAGGAAATGTGTTTCGTGGCATTTCTGTATTTGCTTAAAATTCACTTAGACTGCAGTATGTGATTTAGAAATGAATGTGCGCAGTAATCATAGTGGTTATCTTAAATAATCATGACAGGCCTACTGGCTCATATAGCTATGTTTTCCAGCCTTTTAGCAATATGTAATAATTATGTAGTTCATCTGGAATGCCTTAAAAGGGTGATTTTATTTATTTTATTTTTTTTATTGGTCAGAAGAAAGCAGTCATTTCAGCCAACCAGCTACTATAGTAGATTCTTTAATCCACTTAAGTAATATACAGCAACAAACAGTAAATGTACTGTAAGATGTTCTGGTTAAATGTACATTTGAATATGTGAATAAAATACATCTCTGTTTAAAAGTCAAGATTTTTTTTTTTTTTTTTTTTAAGAAATGAATACTATTATTTAGCAAGGGCACACACAATTTTGATAGTGAAGACTTTTACTTTAAAAAAATCAATTTCTTATACCTTCGTTCACTTTTTTAAACTATGCATCACAGTTTCTTCAAAAGTATTAAGCAGCACAACTGTTTTCAACATTGGTAATAATAAGAAATGTTTCTTGAGCACCAAATCAGTATATTAGAATGATTTCTGAAGGATCATGTGACACTGAAGTTAAGCTTTGGCATCACAGGAATAAATTACATTGTATTTAGTATTAAAATGATAAAATTGTAATAATATTTCACAAAGTTACTGTTTTACTGTATTTTAGATAATATAATACGTACATAAATATAATAAATACAGCCTTGGTGAGCATAAGAGGCTTCTTATAAAAACATTTTTTAAAAATGTATGTTATAATGATTATAATTATTGTTGTTGTATTTTACTTATTAGAATAGATAAAATTTATTATAATAGTATTTACTATTAATATAATTTTTGACTTCTTTTACTTCTTTGCAAGAAACCATCCTAAAAAAAGGTTCTCCTTTACAATGAGTCATGTCTCAGAATAGTTCTTCTGGAAGTAACAAATGGTAATGTAGAGCGTTATTAAAGTCTGTCTTCAAAAGCCTTTATCTGCATACAGTATCATGGAAGAAATCTGCTCGAGTGCATCTGTCCTAATAAAAGAAGAAAGGCAGTTGTTTGTGACCTTACTCCAATGAAAGTCTTCTGCATGTTGTGCTGGATTTGTTTTTATTTTGGTGTGCTTATCAGTTTCATAACTTACAAAACAATATAATGTTGTGCGAACATGGTCTCAGAGGAACGGAGTACAATTTATTGATCTCTCTTTCTCGCTCTCCATATCACTCATTTCCTCCTTTCTTTTCACTCTCCTCTTGTTGTCACATGTCTGCCGCTGAACACGTTCGCTTTGCGGTCTCTTCTTCCTTCTCTTTGCTCTGAATAAGAGGGTGCTGGAAAAGAGGGCAGCAGCAGTTGAAGGAGTTTTGGAGACAGATGCTCTTGCATCTCTCCTTGCCTCTCTGTTCTTCCCGGAGAGCCCGTCTCTGCGTGCGTTTCTGCTGTTACCCATAATGCCTCAGGAAAGGCAGTTAGGAAGTAGAGTGATTCTTTAACATTTTTCCGCTGAAAGAGAGCGGGCCACTGCTGTGCTTCATACTGTGTACTCATTTAAATGCTGTCATTAGATATAATGGAAAACCCCCCTCCAATTGCACAAGCCCTGCTGTGACTCACGGTATCTCAGATTCGCAATGCACGTTAGCTAGTTTATATGTGTTAAAAACAGCAGGTTCTCTTGTAATTGTTGTGCTGCCTTTTTTCATTTTTATGTATATTTTAATGAACATTTGAAATCTTATGTAATCTCTTTTAGGGATGCTATTGTCGTTACTCCTCTTGCCATGCTGTTCCAAATTTGATGGTGGAATATAAATGAGATCTGTCTCATTTTCCTTCCAGCGACACGACACTGGCTTTGTGTGTACCGGAAAATAGAGGCACAGCAATTTTAGCACCACGCTTGTAAGACAAGTATTATAAAGCCTGAACAAAAAGTTTCTTTATGCAAAGTGATTTTTGTGTCATGGTTCGTGCTCAGAAGTGGTTCTTTTTATTTATTGGTGGTCGGTGGTAACATCAACCAGCTTCTTTTTGCATAGATTTTTATATTTATTGCATAGATTTCTTTAATCAGCTTTGAGTGATTGAATGCTCTTTAACTGTACTGCTTAAAGGGTTAGTTCACCCAAAAATGAAAATTCTGTCATTAATTACTCACCCTCGTGTTGTTCCAAACCCGTAAGACCTTCGTTCATCTTCGGAACACAATTTAAGATATTTTTGATGAAATCTGAGGGCTTTGTCGATCATCTTGGTACTTTTCTGAACCTTGAACGTGTTAGTTACCTTGCTGTCTATGGGAGGGTCAGAGAGCCCTCAGATTTCATCAAAAATATCTTAAATTGTGTTCCGAAGATGAACGAAGGTCTTACGGGTTTGGAACAACACGAGGGTGAGTAATTAATGACAGAATTTTCATTTTTGGGTGAACTAACCCTTTAATACAGTGCATACAAGAATAAAGTTTAATATAAGCCAATACTACTAAAAAACAATAAAGTGGGGACTATTTTTTATTATTTTTATTTTGATAAACACGACACAATATAACATTGATTCCAATAAATAAATTTTTGTGCTTTATAAAAGCACGTGTTTGTGAGAATTAGCAGAAGCTGCAGAACTGAAGGTGCCAAAGTAAACATGAAACACACGACTGATGTCATCGGTGAAACGGGCCAATCATGAAACAGCTGTGTTGTCATCAGAGCTTGTGCAGCCACTCTGGAGAAGCTGCACAAAAGGTACAGGCATGAGGTAGTACAATGGTCTAATGATCTAAAACAAAATAGAAGTTTGGTGATAACCATGCGAAAATTTAATTAGTCATTTTTTGCAACAAAAAAAAATTATAATTAAAAGTTCAAAATAAGGGTGCTCCGATCAGGATTTTTGGAGCCAATCACCGAAAGCACTATCTGTGATACGATGACGATACTGATTTTTTATTTTCACAATCCTGATTTCGTGAGCTGTAAGTGAGACGGTCTTAAGCCTAATGTATACTTCGGCCATACGAGTTACGCGACGGTCCGCACACTGCCCTTGTGATGCAGTTTTCATCATCAGAAGTGTCCGAGCCATCCACATGCAGCCCAATTTTTTTGACCACACGGACGGTCCACGTAAAACAGCACAGGTGCGAGGTGAATGTTATATGTGTGCACGCTAAACACTGGCGAGAATGAAAAAGAAATGCTAATTATAAACTTTAGCAGTGGTGGACAGTAACAAAGTAGTTTTACTTTGTTACTGTACTTAAGTACATTTTTCAAGTATCTGTATTTTACTGGAGTAGTTTTATTTTGAGTAACTTTTACTTTTACTTCACTACATTCCAAAGCATAAGATCGTAATTTTTACTTCACTACATTTCGTAAAACATATCGTTACTCCTTATAATATGTAGCATTTGGACCAATCAGAAACACAACTTTTTGTTATATTTAACAAATAATATCTAACACCCCCTCACCTAACCAAAGGGCCAATTACGAGGGTCTATGGACTAGAGGTCGACCGATGTATCGGTTTTGCTGATTAATCGGCACCGATAGTTGATTGCTGGAACTATCAGTTATCGGCAAAAATCCATGCCGATAGTTTTCCGGCGTTATTTTGGGAAAATCCCAGGTATTTTGAGCAGTAGGATTATAAAAAATATGTGCTAATATAAAATTAAATTAAGTAGCCTATATAAAATTGCAAAATAAATCTATCTATCAGTACTTTTTTACTTGAGTACATAAAAAATCGAGTACTTTTGTACTTTCACTCGAGTAAAATTGAAAAAGGAGTACTTTTACTTTTACTGGAGTAATATTTTATCATACGTATCTGTACTTTTACTCAAGTACTTGATTTGTGTACTTCGTCCACCACTGAACTTTAGTGATGATGCGACACTGCCTCGATTGTGCAAGTGACAATTTCTGTGCAGCGTGCAGCTCGCTTAATAGTGCAGACGCGATGTGGTGATTTGAAGCCATTTGCTCATTTTGAGAGGGAGAGCGTGCAGTTATTCACTCACGCTGTTTGTGAAATTCTGTTTCACAGAAATTCTTCAAATTACTTTGTAACTTATTTTATAAAGAAATATGAATTGTACCTCACCTAAAGCATTATAATTATTTTATCCATGCCGGACGTCTCATGGCAGGAGCGTTGTCAGCTTGAGATCGGCTTATGAGATCAGCCTTTATAGAGACTGCCGATCAAACTTCCCAAAGCGATTATCTGCCGATAGCAATAGGTAGCCGATCAATCAGAGCACCCCTAGTTGAAAAAGTCATTCAAAAAAATACATCTACACACAAACTGACCACTAGTCAAGATTCCAACTTTGAGACGCCTTTTTATATTTTGCCTCAACTGTCACTGAATCGAACGCACAGGATAGTGGGATATCATAGGCAGCGAAGAATACATCTATGTTGCCTTCAACAGATGAACGTATCTCAGTAGACAGGATGTGACACAATCATAGGATTTGAGCGTGCCTTTTTACATCTGTATGCTGCCTGCAGAGGCAGCATTTTTCAGCTTTCGTGGGCAGCCACTATTCTCACTATCCTTCCTTCATGACACATAATCTGAAGGTGCTCCTCAATTATTTAATTCTGACGGCTCTTTCAAATATTCATGCCTTAATGGAGGTACAGTGCCAACTGAGTGATGTAAAAAGAAAATCAACAAATAATATGCACAAGATGCCATACAAGTTCCCACAGCATGCTGGGAAAGTGAGATTGCATAGCAACAGAGAGGCCTGCATGCTGTTAGAGAAGGAAACGAGAGCATGAAATGAATCAGGGCGCTAATTAAGGCATATTTTAGTACATTACTGCAACATGTATAATCAAATTAATTTGATTAATTGTATGAGTCACATTACTCTCTGTCACTCCCTGTTATGTTCTCCAGTGCTTCTGATTAGACAATTAAATTGGACATTTGTGTCTGAAAGGACGGTTGATTCTGTGCAGATTGGCCCGCAACGATGGAGGCACGTAAACACAACAAGCTTCAGATTAGACGCATCTGGACCACACCCACTTTGACGATGCGCTCACGGAGGCTGGCTGCTCGCAGAGAGCATTGAGTCTAGCGAAGCAAAAACTTTTGAGAGGAAAAGGAAAGGATCAGTTCTCACTGAGGCCGGAACTTCATCAAAGAAAGCTCACGCTCGCGCTCCATCCCTCCGTTCAACACGGAGCGATGGAAATTCTATTCAAGCTGGGCACGTCCTTCTCATTCAGCGCGCGCCCAAGCAAACTACCACTGTGATAGTGGACCCACAAGAGCAATTCTCCTCTCTTCACACTGCGACTGCCAGTTCCCCGCCCCCGTGCTGTGAACTGCATTAGTAGGAAAAGTAACCGCTTGCCGCCTGGCTTTTGGCTTGGAAAGTCATCCCCGGCATGTCAAGCTGGATTCTAAAAACCATGGAACGAGGTTACTTGCTCCAGTTCGCTCGCAGGCCACCTCGCTTCAGAGGTATTATTCACACTTCGGTATGGGATAACGCATGTTCGGTATGGGATAACGCAGGGAAGTACATACACTGCTTGCAAAGGTGTTGTGGAAATGGTCACCTTAGCGAACAGCGAGTCAGGTTTTTACAGCCGTTACTTCCTCGTTCCCAAGAAAGACGGTGGGCTCAGACCAATACTCAATCTCAGACATCTGAACCCGGGCCCTCATGCGACGGCTTTTCAGAATGTTAACTTAAACAGATCCTCGTGCAAATATGCCCGGGGACTGGTTTCTGTCTGTGGATCTGAAAGATGCTTACTTTCACATCCAAATAGCGCCCCATCACAGACTGTTCTTGAGATTCACTTCGAGGAAGTGGCCTATCAGTACACAGTCCCTCTGTTGGACTGTTCCTGGCCCCTTGCACTTTTACGAAGTGCGTAGACCCGGCTCTTTCCCCTCTGAGACTGATGGGAATCCGCTATTTGACCTCGACGACTGGCCGAATCAGAACGGGAACTTTTCACTCACAGGTTGTTGTTGATCAACCACCTAGAGCGTCTTGAGCTGAAAATCAATTCAGCCAAGAGTTTTCTGACTCCCAAACAGCGAGTGACTTTCTGGGAACAGTTACAGACTCTGTAAAAGTTTGAGCTTGGATTACACCGGAACGCTACCTGAATATTCAGCGAGTACAGCATCGTTCAAGCCAGGGTCTACACATCCCCTCAGGGCATCTGGCCCCTTCAATATTGGCTAAAAGCCTGCATCCCGTCCCACGCCGAGCACCTGGGCCGCATTCATGTCAGGGTAACCCATCGCTGTGTCAATGCTGTGGCCCCTTGGACAACTCCCTGCCTGTTTCTGTCAGGCGTGCAGTTGAGAATGACCTCCAGAAGGAAGGTGGTCACAACGGGCGCCTCCAGTTCGGGCTGGGGTGCTCTGTACGAGGGCAATCCAGCATACGGCTCCTGGTCGACTCACGAGCAATGCCTACGTATCAACTGCCTCAAATTGATGGCTGTTTGCTGGCCCTGAAAACCTTCCTGCCAGCCTTAACCTGTTAACCTGCACCCACCATTTTGGGACTCACAGCTGAAAATGACCTACCTAACTTAAAATGGTAACAGTTCCTGACTTCAGTGTGCTACACACACAATTTTGGTGTCTTTAGAAAGAAGACCCTTTGGGCTTTACTATCCATCATCCAGAGTTGATAATACTCAAAAAGATAAAAAGTTATAGACACTGAAGGGCCTTGAAAAAAATAGTACCACACTGAATGTTTTTTTTTTCATATAAAAATACATGAAATCAGTCCTGCAGCAATCCAGAAAAGTAATGGGTTGAAAGTCACATGTCTCATGACTTTCTATTTCAAATCTGAAGAAGATACCATGAAAAATGAGATCCCTGCAACCATTTTTCTGAGACTATGTCTAGTCCAGTTTTTTGAGAGTAAGTTATTCCATAACGGATACAAACAATAACTGCCCCCGAAGAAATGAGACGTAAACAAAGTAATTACCATCCATATTACAACGTTAATTGTTTCGTTGGACTAAAAGTGCTCTATGGGATGTTGTTCAGTTGACCCTTACGTTTCTAACTAAACCGGGGTTTACAGCTGTGGATGCGTTTATGACTCGTTATTACGATGAATCTGGTACGTACTGCGTTTTTTGATTATGCATGCTTTGATGTGTACTGCTTACACAAATTTAGCACAAACAATCCTTATAAGCTTTCCATTGAAAAACAGTGATCCATCGTCGATGCTTGAGGCTTAGACCTTTAGAATGATATATAGTTTGTCAAGATTAATTGTCCCTGTTCATTTAATCTATTCGTGAACATTGACACGTGCAAACAGAGCGTTCAGTGCGCCGGCGTCGTTGCGGGTTAACAGGTTAAAGGGGCGCCAAGTCCGGGTCCACTCAGACAACACGACTGTGGTAGCCTATATCACAGGTTATCAGGCGAGTCAGGGACACAAAAGGTTCTCTCCTCCTTGTGGCCCCTCTCTGGAGGAACCAAATGTGTTTTCCGGAGATGATCCAGCTGCTATCTGCAGTGCCGTGGTAGCACTGTGGAGA